AACACTTACCCATGTTTTAGCTGTAAGGAAGACATGGAAGTTGTCATTAAAAGACATCACAGGGTGATCTGCAATCCTACTAACAAACTTGTTGAGTGCTATTTGTCGTGATTTCAAAAATTCAGGTGCAAATCGATCAAAGTGCTTTGTAAATGAATGCTTCTCTGGGAGTGGCTGGAAGGATGATAAATCACAATAAGATTGCAGTTAGTGACAGGTTGTGACCGTAAAGATAAACAGAAAAATTTCCCTCTGATTCTGCTTGTAACAATAAAATAGGAAAAGATCTCCTTTTCAACACAAATGCAATAATTTTAAAATAATTGAGAATACAGACCACAGACAAAAAGGCCAAAGTTCAGTTCAACAATCAGGGAAGGAATTTTGGGCTGTCTAAATGTCTTGTCCAGTGATTGGACTACAAATGACCTTACTTGTCTGATCAGGCACCAAAACAATGTGGCAATAAATTCTCCTTTAACCCGACTTTGGACATATAACTATTTTTCCATGTGTAATAACTTTGGTGCCCATAAAAAAATTAAATTTTGCGTGCAGAAAGTAAAACAAACATAATTTTGAGTTAATTACAGTTGTGTTGATTGCAAACACGAAGTGTGGCCATTAATTTCCAAGTGACTCCCTCTTCTTACCCTGTAATTGTTGTAGTCAGGTTTTTCCAACAAGCAAGCTTGTGGTCCCAACAAGTAAAATAATTGTGTTCCTATGTGTACAGGAAGATTTGAGACAAGTTGGAGGACATTTGCCAGACCTCTTACAGGCTTGCATTACCCAGGCCCTCCCCCCCAAAGAAATGTTTGTGTCAGAATGCTAATAATGAAGGCCTGCCTGCAGGCTATGAAACTTCCTGGATTGTGATTTAACCCTTCAACTCCCATGAATGATCAAGACTGAATTTCTCCTTGCAATATCAACACAACAGCCATCAGATAAGTGATGAGAATAAAGAAAAATATCAATTTGGGGATAATAAGTTGATCCAATACTAAATTCTCTGAACTAACATTGTAAAAATTGTATGGTTGACAGTAAGGAGAATGGCAAATTGATCAGGGAGTTTAAGGGTTAAGGGAACGATACACTTACAGGGATGATGTGTGTAGGGTAACTCTCTTCTAATCTGTGTCTCAGCCACAAGAAGTCTTGATATCTTCTTCTAACACTGTATTCTGGGTGATCAAACTGTCCCCTTGTGGTCTGTGTTGAAAAAAAAGTAAGGATTTTAAGGATCTTGACTTGTGTTCAGTAGCCTAGGTATTGGAGAAAGTGGATTCTCTGGCTACCTTGCAGAACTTTAAGCTTAACTTTCAATAGCCCAAATAGTATTCTACTCTAATGTGATGAGACAGAATTTTTCCTTATGATATGATTACAATATCAAGTAAACAAGTGATGAGAAAAAAATGATATCAATAAGGGTATTATCAGTTGCTCCAATACCAAATTCTCCCTACTAACTTCATGAAATTTTTAAAACAGACAGCTAGGAGGATTACTGATAAAATCTTGGGAGTGAAAACGTTAACTTCCCTCAGTCAATGTTGTTATTCCTAAAAACAAAAGTTAGCCTTTGCAATCTGTTCCTCTACTATTACACACAAAATATGTAGATACCAACCTTTGTTGTAACACTATAACTGACATAGCCACCCACATGTTTTTCTGGATCATCAACTGTCACGTGTAAATCCTTCACTTGGCCTACATCATCATAACCTCCAATCTTAAAAGACTCCAGGAAAGGTGTATTTTTATCTGCTGAAGAAGTGTCTAAGTAAATGGAATGTTCTAAGTGATCTTCTCCTCCAGGACTCTAAAAAAGATCATGAAAATAAAATAAGCAAAAAATTGTGTTCTCAATACAAATTGGTACAAATGCTTTATTTATCTGCCTAGGCACTCAACCTCAAATAAACAGCAACGCAATTTCTCCACTTGAGAGAATTTGAGGTTAAATGGTTAAATTGTACATAAAATACAAACCCAAATCAGAGCGAAGTTCAAACAAAAACTCCGTCACATGTCTGGACACAAACTTTATACCACACCGAATTATTTCAAATTAAATGCTCAATGTATTAAATTATTCCAAGTTGAACACTATTATGCGAAGTATATTGTTGGGCTTTGATTGAACAAAAAGGAGCAGAAACTAGCGTCGCATGCACGAATCTTGCCTGACGCTTTGAGTACAAAAAAGGTAGAAGAGTTGAGTAAATTTCATGATGGCCTTTTGATGAAAGATCACGATATGGTTAAACGTAATAAAAAGCCAAAATCCACGATTAACGGGTTTACGTGGCAAAAATGACCCAAAACAATAAAACATTTTTTGATTGTGCTAGTAAAATAACGCAAGTTAAGTCTTCGGGCTTACATCTGGTAAAACAGCTTGTTCTTCTCTGGGACCATCATCATGTTTTTCGTTCTCAAAAGGATTGAAGGTGTCAATATCGTCCGCCATGTTGCAAATGGTGATCAAAATAGTCATGTACTACTCGGAAATATTCGGAATTTTCCGAATAGTCCGGAAAACTCCGATACACCACGAGCGTATCCGAATATAGCTTCGGCCATTTTGTTTCTTCCAGGAGACAAGGTAGTTTTCTTTTGGCGATGGCCGAAGCACAGCTGTTAGTTCTGGGCTCAGAAGGTGTTGGAAAAACTGTTATGCTAAAAAGGCTTCAAACGTTGACTGCCCAGCAGAATTTAGCGCAAGCACTTCACAAGCAAGATCTTGGCGAAGCACCTTCGACAATTCCCACGATTGGAGTGAATTTGGTTACTGTAACATACAACAGAAAGAAATATACATTCAGGGAACTCGGAGGAGCAATGGGGCCAATTTGGAATAATTATTTTAAAGACGCAAGTTATTTAGTGTACATCATAGACACGGCGAATCAGACCCAGGTTGCGTCTTCATGTATTCAACTTCTTGAAGTGCTCGCCTCGAAGCAGACCCAACATATGTCTGTTCTTCTGATTTTTAACAAGATTGATTCACCAGACCGCCTGAGTATGAGCGAAATAAGCGCTCTATTAAGACTTAGGGAGATATCGGCAAGCGCTAGGCAAGACATCACAGTTCTGGAGTGCAGCTTTCGCGAAGGGGCAGGCTTAACTGAAATTTTAACATGGCTGCAGGAGAAATGTGCGAAGTAAAATGAAATAAACAGCTGTTTTGAGGTATAAACACCAATTTTTGTTTTCTCTTTCATCCAAGTCAGTTTTCCGACTTAAAAATTTTAGGCTTTGGAAAACATTACTTTCCTAAACCTCTGGGTAAATGTTCAATACTTATGTTTTGCTGATATGTATTGTGCTGTCAGTATAATCAATAGATTCCATTTTACCTTTTATATGTTCATCAATTGATCACAGAGAACATTAAAATGTGATCACAACAAAAAAATTGGTGTGGAAAGTGTAGGCAAGTGTGTCACTCATGTTCTTACCATAAATTTTGATGTTTTCTCTGATCTATAATACTGAGCCAACCCGCAACAACATGGGAACTAATTGTTATAAAGTAGCAAAATGTTGTTAGAGGTGACATAATCTATGCAACCATCCTCCAACTGATCAATAATTAGAACCAATGAAAATGTGTCAGCAATTAGCTTATTATACAAATTTAATACAGATTTGATGCCCTGAAGTGAAGGTTAGGTGGGTGTGTGCTACCAATGAAAGTCTTCAACCCCAGGTCCTGTCTTCCAGGATATCCTTTTACATGCTTCCTGATATAAACCAGATAACTGTGTCAGCTCAGGCACCCTTAGTTTGAGAGTATGCTCTCAATGATGTTAATTCATAAATGGTTTTGCCCACAGGATAATTTGAGTTGCAAATAGAGTGAGTTGGCAAGAGGGCTGGGATCTGTCAGACTCAGCTCCTGTTCACTTTGCTTCCAACTTGAACTATCCTGGGGGAAAAACTGGTTGTTCTGTACTGCCAATGAGAGCCATCTTGCTAGCTATGGCTGGCTGAATTGAACAACCTCTTGGGTAGAAAAACCTACCCAAACATTGGAGGCTTGGTGGCAGGTTAGGGTACTCTGACCTTAATTGGACAGAACACTTCTAATTAGATTCTAAAAGTTGTAGCTTTGATAAACGTAGCCTGTTCTAGGCTTTCAGTCCAGAGATGAGTAATGAAGTTGTATATGCTGTCTCAGAGGCCCCTAGAACTAACTGGAGGGGTAAAACCTGTTCTGCCCAAATATGGACCATGATCACATGACATTAAAGTATGATTCAAACTCGCTTCACTAGCTTTGTTTACTTTTTACATTGGACCCCAAACTATCTGGATTGGGAGGTTCCCTGGAGTGGATTGGCATTCAATCGTTAAAGAGTGCAGTTGAATCGTGCTAATCTTATCACCACTGGGACATAAAAATTGGCTGCATTAACAGGGTGACTGTAATACTGGGCCAAGATCAAATTTCTTAATCTCTTTGCAAGTTGTATTGGTGGATTTCAGCGTCAAGATTTATTTCCTTTGCCATGTTTGTAATGGAAACAGGGAGGAAATTTGCTTCCTTGTGAGTAAATCGGCTTTTTGCTCAGTAAATGACAGAGATTAATGAGATCAACATTCCAAAGGTATTTTGGTCCTCTAATTTTAATGCTAGTTTTTTTTTATCATTGGGCTGAAATTGTAAAGAATCTACTCTGGGATTTTAAAATGTGGTCATAACAGATGACCACATTAACAAGGGTGTTTTAAGGCTGTTTTCATGGCTCATAAAAGAGTGGGCACAATTGCAAGGTGACCATATTACTGAGGTGAACACCTCACTGAGTTAGTGGTAAGGCAGGGTGCATTCCTTATTGCTTAGAGCCACAGAAACCAGGGAAAGGCACTGACTGTGAAGAGCTGTTTGGCCATAGGAGTTAATTAACCTTCAGATGCCTGCCATTACTCAGAACTGACTAGCTAAACTAACACAGAAAAGATTTTCTTCTTGAATATTCATTTAAAAAGAATCCCTTTTTATTCCCACATTCCATTTTGATTTTGTAGTTACGATTAAAATGTAACAATATATTAAACACCATAATCTGCATTTGATTACATGGATGCACTCAAACTTAGCAAACATTTGAGAAGCATGGAAATGTGATCAAAAACTGTTTGGAGTTAAAGTAAAGAGTTAAAGTTCTCAACTGATAATTGAAAGTTTAACACTTAGTTAAAAAATAATTAGAACTGTAATAATCCATGTCATTGCTATAAAATTTTTCTTATTGAGCTCTTGATAAATTATTTCTAAGCTGAAAAATATTTTGGACATAAATAAGACACATATGATCACTGCATGACATTCCTTGAGGAGAAATATTGTAAAAAATTATCCTCCTTGTTTATTTAAATAGTAATGCATGCATATTTTTCTTTATTTTTGTATTCACTTTTTGACTGACATATGAGATTGAATGATATGTCATATGAATACAAATTGAAATGAATTTCATTATATGTAAGACTTTACCAAAGAGGCTTATGAATGTTAGCCAACTTCCCTGAGAAATTATCTCATGAACAATTATTCCTGAACAACAATGCCCCATTATTAAAAGTAGCTGGCAAAAGCCTTTTTCAGTTCACAGTCCATGTCCCTTGAACAGAGACTGTACCAAAATAAAGACTGATTCTGCTTTAGAATCTAGTGTGTAAAAAGCTGCCTAGTATACACCTATCCAATCATGTTGGAAACTAATAACAAATAAGCTATGGATGAACTGCTCCATAAGAGTTCAGTGCTTTGTCGCTGTGTTCCTTAGGATCTCTGCTTTCAACAATTACTTCATATCTCTGATGCTTCGACCCATAAAGACAATAGTGTTGAACCATGAAAAACACATCAAATAGAATTGAGATGGCTCCCAAACCAAACTTGGTAAAGTCACCAAATATAGACTTCCAATCATCTGCAAAATAATATGAAAATTTCTTGATCAAAATCACTTCTTAGACTTGAGGAAGGAAGGTAGTTAACCATTTAACTTCCAAGGTCTGATTGTTAATTCTCCCCTCTAGTCGTTTAACACATTCCTTGTAAATAACTTATGAGAATTTGGCGTTAGATCAAGACAACAATTTCTACCTGATACATTTGAGCATTCTCATTACCTGTTTACTAGATAGTGCATGGATATTGTTGGGAGAAGTTACTTGTAAACAACTTCTGGGAAGTAACACATGCAGTATATATGAAAGGTAACACATGGAGCTTGACATGCAGTAACCCTAACATCAGTATGCATTTCTTCTCCATGTCGTTCTGTATACATTTGCTAGGGAGAAATAGTTTAAACAATGAAGAGCTTCACTGGTTGATGATCATTTCTTTTATTCTTGTGTCCTAAATGTGTCATTCAGGGATAATATTGTAAGGAGAATTTAGATGCTTATAGTTACTCTTGCTTACTTTGTTTTCACATGGCCTCCCCTGCTGCCATTTCAAGGAGGTTGTTTTCATCCTATTGTAGGGGAACTTAACCCTTTGACCCCTAAGACTTAAACCAGCATCTAATTTCTCCTTACAATATCACCCCTAAATCAGACATTCCGGTCACAAGAATAAAGGAAATAATCACCATGCAACTAAAGAAGCTCTTGATTGTTAAACCAGTTCTCCTTGTCAACACCCCAGTAAATATTAGAGTACAGTGTGGAGAATATGCAAACTGATATTAGTGTGTAAAGGAATAAAAAAACCAAAAATACAGCAGCAACAAGAATGTGGTAATAGCATAAGATGTTGGTCAAGCATTATGGTGACAAACATATATCTTTATAAGCTTTGTGGACTTTCCTATTTTTGAAAGATGCAAATAATTTCCAATAAACTAGAGACATTGTATAACAATTATTTGCAAAGTGAAAATTGTTAAATACATATAATTCAACTATTGATGACAACTATTATTATACAATATTCACTTTGCCTGAGGTGCAATATTGCCAAGGCAGCAATTTTGAAATTTAGCACCCCTGCTATAATCACCTCATGCAAAGTGATAATAGTGGGATATGAAGCAGTCTTCCACCAATCAGAGCACACTCATACATATAATCACTGGAGCAATCATAATTAGAATGTTTAAATTGTTAGACATTTTATATAATCATATATAAATCAAACTCTATGTCTTTTCCATGTTCTACCCAGCAGAATTTGGAAGGAATATTAGGGAAAGGAAATACTGTATTAAAATACAGGTGGCAAGGAGAAAGGGGCGAGGAATTTTTTAGTGGAAGGGCACAAAAGAAGTGATTTCCACAACATTCAAAGTACTGGTAGAAACGTCATGATGCATGCACTTACCATTATTGTAAGCTAAAAGGAACATCTGTAGAATACTCAAGGATCCTCCAGTAAAATCTAGGAGAATGTTACCGATACTCCATCCAACAGTACTCTGACGTCTATAGTTCATCCATGCCTGTTAGGAAAGAGTAGACATTTGGGTTGT